GCAAATTTATCTTGACAAAAATCCACATAAATGAAGGGAGTTCTTGTGCTGCCATTAACATAGCAAAATTCAATCTGAACCACAGACTGAAAAGGAAAATGACACCATGTTTCAAGGCAAGCATGGTGGACACCATAACAGCAAGGTGCAAAACTGTGTGGTGTACAGAAAAGTATTGAAGGAATGTAGCACTGCTGCTTCTCATAATTAGAACCCTTTCCCCCGCAGGTTTTCAAGGAACTGGTTAAGATAGGAAAAATCTTATTTACCTTCAACCCACAAAAGAACTCCTTCATTTCCTAAGAGACTGTTAACTTTCATGTCCAAATAAAAAGTTATTTTCATGTCCTTCTCTTTAAGAATTAAGTGCTAAATTAACAACAAAAAAATTAGCTGAATGATCAGACATTCATCTCTTTCCTGAAGTTCTAGGTCTTCTTTAGTATTGTCAACACAAATAATTCTTAATTTCTTAATTGCCTCAGCATTTGAGTGAGTATATTTTTTCAGGACAAAGTTCCCTTCCAATATTAATCCTCTCACATAATTTTGTTTGTATTATCTTCACCAGTGTCTAGCAGCAGTGGGATCCTCCAGGAACATGAAATTTAACAGTTTCAAAGATGGGCCACTCATTTCTCTGTAAACAATCCATTGCCAGTGTCAAGATCAATCAAAAGTGCCTACCTTCTAAGAAGGCTCAAAATTTTGGGGTTTTATTCCTCAGACATGAAAACCACTAAATTCCTACATGAATAGAGCTTTTAAAACAGATTAAAAGTCACTTCAATGAAAGTGGAGCCTCTAGGAATGATGAGACTTCTTCTTAAACTGGCACACTAACATGTTTTTCCAAGCATGTGATGCCATTTATTATGCTGAAAATGTTACACTTAATTACTAATGGCTGAAGATCACTTAGACTTTTAAATCACATGTGTGATTTAAATCACACGTGTGATTTAAAAGAAGGAAGTTTGAAATAATTTCCATTGAAGAGTATCTTTGGATGTGTATTGCGAGTTCCCATTTGAGAGGGGTTTTTTTTTGGGCAACAATAATGAAAGTTTAAACCCAAACTCAGTTGTCTATTCATCACTGACTTGAAGTTCAGCCCTCTAACTTCATATGCTCATTCTTCTCAAAAACCTTACTCAATATTTGAGAGAAAAGAGAGTTCTTTTACTTGCTAAGATCCTCCTTGATTTACCAAATCTACCTTTTGGAGTTCTTTTACTTGCTAAGATCCTCCTTGATTTACCAAATCTATCCATCCATCCATCCATCCATCCATATGGGCGTAATCCATATAATGAGATATAATCAGATAAAATAGACTGTACATACCAAATTCAGAATACCTGCACCCCACTCATATTCTTCCCAGCTGCATGAGAGGAGACAAAATTCCCAGTTGTTTTGACACAGACTTTTTCAGAAATTAAGTTTATCACCATTAATCACCTCTGATTGCTGTAACAGGGTCATTTTGAATGTGAACATGTCATTGCAAGTTCATAAATTTTCCTGATAATTTTATGCCTGTGGCTTGTGTATTGTAATTCTGACAATTCATGCAGACAGCATTATGTCATAAATTACCACATTAGTTTGGCATGAGTCTCAGTACTCATGAACATTGCTTCTATTATTTAAATGTGTAACATATTTAAAGCACAAGATTCAATATCCAAAATAAAGGAACACTTAGAAAAAACCCTAACACTTAGATGAGGAACGAGGACTGGATTTTTCCTAATGATTTGGGATGCAACTCCAATTGAAAGAGAAAAAATCCATGATACCCTACACTTTTAAGAATTCTTGAAAGCCCAGTTTAAGGAAAAAAACTACAAATCAAGCATTAGATTATAATACTTTATGTAAGATTTCTAATGACACAGAAATATTTCACTTAATATTCTGCTTGTATAATGAGTCTGAGGAAAAAACAAGTAAACAGTAACTTTTACTTTAAAATTAGCCCAGATGGAGAACTCTCCATGACAAAATCTATAATGTTTAAGATTAAATCTATCTAATGTGAACTACTAATATTTTGTTGTAAAACCATTAGGCTTGATTATAAAATCAGAAACCAGATGATATGAAAAATATTACGAACATACCCCACTGTTGTTGAACGTAATTAGTTCTCAGGCTTTTAAACTTGCACACACTTATATTTTTATATCTAAGTAGCTCCACTGAAATCAATCATATGTATCAAATAAAATTAAACTTATTTATAAAAATTATACACCAAATGAAATCATGTTAAACACGAAGTCCCTAGCAAATAAAAAGCCTTCTCTAACAGAACCAGCCCGTTTGATACAAAGTGACTGCATTTTTTTATAGAATAGGCTGCAGCTCAGTCATTTCAGTCTTTAATTACTGCATCAGATAATGACTATTTTGAACATATGCTTCTCTGCCCTGCTAGAAGACATGAATGAGAGAGACAAGTTCATATGCATGATCCAGAGTGTGCATGTTGGGGGAGGGAGGCTAAAGAGCAAAAGGAACCAAGTGGCAACAATTGGAGGAAATGGTGCCTGTAACAGCTGCTCCTTTCAGATTCCCCTAGAAGGAGACTGCCTGAGGTGGACCACGGCACAAAGGGATAAAGAAGATGAAAACTGATGCAAAGCAGGGAAATAACTGCTGAGACCCCTGAGTCTACATCCGAATAGTCCCAAGCTGTGTGGCAAGACCTCTTTAGCATGCTACAGAAGCTGGTGATGAACTACATATTACCATGAGGCAAACTGGCTCCTAGCAGTATTGTCTGCATGTTATGTGTAATGATAACCAGTGGGCCCCTGGGAACAGGAGGCAATGATTTCATCTCCGTAAGCATCTGAGCTCCCCTCGGATACAGAGACCATTAAACTGAGAACAGAAGGGGAAATTTTAGGCAATGATTTCCAACTGGAGAGTGAAGACAACTTCTGCTCCACAGTACTATCAACCACAGATATTTTACTGCTGTAAATTGATCACTGCAAAGGACAAAGGGAGCTAAAACTCTACCCTTTTTTCTTCTTCCCAGAGAACACAGTGTATTTTTTTGAACAAAAGTACTTTAAAAGTTTTTCATGTAATATTATTGGCAATGCCATTATATTAGAAAATGCCACTGTTTTATTAACACTGAAAAGTATTGGTATTTCCATTACTGTTAAAATAACATGTTATACTTTTAACATAATGTATAACTTGTTTTTGTACTACAGAGACCTTCTTGCCCTTGCACTTTGCTTTCATTAACTGTCAGGTGTTTTGGTAGGACTGAAAACATTAGGTACTACCTATTGGTTACATATTTAAAATGAGTACATTAAAAAATTCAGGATTTCAGAAGCTTCCTTAAAAAAAAAAATCTGCATGCAACAAAAGGAAATGCAACTTCCAATGAAGCTGTAATTTTTTAACAAGAGATATGGGGGAGCAATGAAGGGAAGGGAATAGCTACAAAATGTAGTCAAAACTGATTCTGAGGAAACAATGCCAGGACAACTATATTTTTAACATTTTCAAGGGTAGTTTTATCCTTTGTGTATTCTGGAGAGATTAAGAGGCAGGCTTCTTCATTTAGCACATTTGTTTATCTTGCTGCTCTTCAGAAATCACACAGTATATTATGTGAAATGAGAAGTTAAATTAAGTTTCTGAGAGTCTGAGAAAAGTTGCTCAGGTAAGAAGGCCAGCATGCTTGTCAGGCAAAAATAATCACAGGTAAACTGAAGTACAAAAAATTCTTGTCTAATCTACACTGCCTTCTTGTAAAAGATCAAATATCATAGTCTTGTTGATGTGGCAAATATTAGATAAAATTTTATAAAACTATTTGGAGCTTTTTAGTTTTGAGATATTTTTACATTCAGCTACAGGTTTAACTGCAATTCACTGAGAACAGCCCCCTGCTTTCCATCATTCAATTGATTTATGCAGAAGACAGGACTTTCAGCACTGAAGAATAATGTAAAAAGGTGGTCAATAACTTCTAAAAAATTGTAACAAAAATGAAATCAGACAGACATCTAGAACACATCCTACACTGCAAGAGCCAAGCAAGTAATATTGATACACATGCTGAATTCATTCTGGGACTTCTATTGGTCTGCTTCTGAGAAAGACAAAATACAAACCATCTCAACAAATAACCACAATGAATTACATCTATAAAATAAGTTCATTAATAGAATACTGAGTCATTCTGCAGTTAAAGAACAAACAGAAAGAGAAATTATCCACCTGATTAATTGCAATAATCATGAACAAAATATTCAAATTTATTTTCCACAGAACATTTCTAAAAGTATCATGGAGGACTGTGAGGGATGACAGGCTCAAAAGAATCAAGTTGCTGCTTATCTTTCCTCTCACACTGACCCATGAGGAAGCAAGGAAACCCTCCTTTTAGAATAGAACTATACATGCAGTGCTCTTATTGTCTTAGAATTATTAAAGCTCAAGGGAAACATCAGAAGAGGAGTCTGAACTCAAGTATCCACAGCAGAAATTGCATCAGCATTACAGCTTTTCAAAAGCAATTCATATTGCTTCTAAATTTCTTCTAAATTACTGATGTTCTAACAATGTAAGTGTGTGAACTGATATTTTTATTGTTTCTCACAAATACACTGTACCAAACTAATTTGCAAAATTGGTGTTTTAAAAAACTGGTGTAGTAAATAGAGACTGTTTGATATTCACATATATACAAGAAAAGGAAGCCTAGTCACATATAACCTGAACTGTCAATTTATATTATTTCTACAGATCCAAGCATGAAAACCTGGACTCAGTCTGTTCTGGTATTTACTGGAACCACAAATGCTTGAGCCACATGGATTCCTGCCTACAGAACTAGATAAAGTTATGAAAGGTCCATGATCCAAGTCTCTCCAAGTTTTTTCCCACTCTGCAAATGCCAAACAAGCTGAGGAGGCAGAGGAAGACATTGAGAAAGCTAAAGCAAAGAATAAACTTACTGCTAATGCTGTCTCATTTTCTCCACAAAAATGATATGCCAGACTTAAGCAATAGACTGCTTCTCCATGCATCTTTATATCACCTCCTAAAGGAAGGGTAAAAGGTAGAGTTACCAGCATGATCTGAACAAAATTACATTGGTACAGACAGCTCTTGCAGGTTCTTAAACAAGATACAGATGTCAAAATACTGTAGTAAATTTTTCCCTTTCCTAACCCCCCCGCCCCGTACCTCTTTCTGAAAACATACAGTAGTAATTAAAAATAAAGGCTATGGAGTTCACCAAGGAAGTTTAGCAAAGTCAGAGAAAATATTTTCCAGTAATAAAGTACAATCAAATCAACATGTGTAAGTTCTGTGTCATTAACTGTTTAATCATGGTCCTAGTGTCTTTACATTAGAAAATTATACTAGTTTCCCTATGTAGACTCAATATAAAATAAAAGTGGCTACAAATAGGTAATAAACCTTCATATATATAAACACAAAATGTATCTTAACCCACACATTTTGCTAATGTGAATCTTGGTGAAACACCAAGAGAGAACCACCAGTTGACCACTTTCATCTTCCTTATTCTCCTGCCTGTTTTACTAGCTACTGTGGGGTAAAATAGCTAAAAAAATGAATAACTTATACTTGCAAGCAGTACTTATAGAAAATTCTGGACAGGCTGTTGCTAAGGTGCATCCCACCTTTCCATGCCAGGTTTTATTTTACTGATACCAGTCTAACAAACACTGCTTGCTGGTTCTTTTGCATGGCTCCTTCAAGAGCAAATAGTCTATTTGATACCAAAATAAATATAAACTAATTATGTAGTTCTTAAAGTATCACACTATATTCAAAAATTTCCCTCCAGATCACGAGTAGCCATAAAAAAACCCTGAAGATGAAATTATATTAAAAATAGCCAAAAATCCAATTTTTCTGTTGCTCAATATCCATCTGCTCCAACACAATAAATAGTGAAAAATCAACATGAAGAATAAGTGCATATCAAGATATTTTGTAAAATGCATAAATAAATACAGTTACAATGAAAAGGGAGATTGTCTGCTTACAGTTGTACACTTTTTCTGTCCAAACACACAGAAGCCTACACCTAGTTCTGAAACTCTCTGAATGATAATAATTGCTGAGGTCATATCAGTGCTCTATCTATAGCACTTAATATATTACTTACAATTATTAAAAACCTGTAACTCAAAAACCTGATGGTCGTTTCCAATACTCAACACCTCTTAAAAGGATAAGGGATAATAAGACAAAAGGATACAGAAATACAGTTTCACAATAGAATAGTAAGTTAAAAGTTGCTAGGGACATAAAGAACTTCCTTCCTTGCTTAAGAGGATTTGACAGTCTGAAGCAGGTAATATCTAATCCTCATTCCTAAAGTGCATAAACACACATGATGGTCCAGAAGGACAGAGTGGATTACAGATAACATGCAGCAGCCAGTATGGCTCTGGAATGAGGACTGGAGAACTCCTCAGAAAGAAGTTCCTAAATCTTAAATTTAAAGAGAACAACAGCTCATATAATGTGCATAGTGCTACATGCCTCAGGAAGCTGTGAAAGTGATTGATCTGAAATTTGAAAAAAGGGAACCAGAACAGCCGCCTGGTCAAAATAAATTTTGGAAATACGTAAGATCCATTTTGACAATCACTTAATATCCAGCAGTTCTCACTAGCATTAAGAAGACATTCATATGTAATTTCATAGCAGTTCTTCTAGCTACTATACCACTATACCTAATATTAAGAGGAGTGTAACTGTAGCTGTAATTTAAGCATATATTATAGACAATAGCTGTAGAAAGTACTACAAGCTTGTATTATGACCTATACAGTCACAATGTTATTTGTTGCAGAACTTATTTTTAAATTTGGAAAGTGTTTTCATTTTTTGTCATTTTTGACTGTTTATCTATTCCAACTACTAGTCAAAGACTGGGCTACAGATTAAATATTTAGCATTCATTATTAAACTAAAAAAACCTAATGGATACTGATACATATTGAATTAATATGTATTTAAACAAAAACCTTCTTCATTGTGAGGGTGTTCGAACAGTGGTAAATCTTTCCAGAGTGGTTATGGAGGCTCTACCTGTGGAAATACTAAAACCAGACTGGATATAGCAGCCTGCTCAGGACAACCATATGATTTCCAGAGGTTTTCCTTCCTACCTCTGTTGTTCTGCGATTCTGTAATTTTTTACTTTCGGTTTAAAAGTTTTTATGCATATTAAGGTAGAAAATTTTATTTGCTTATGATAAAATCCTGTTTTTTTCAAGTATAAAGTAACTATATAGAGTGAAAAGGTAACTTTTCCAGCAGATAATATAAGTCAAAAACTGCCAAATCAACAGTGACTAGCCAATCAAAATCGGTGACCTCAGCTTCCATCAGTGACTTCACTTTCTGATTGTGGGTTCACAGTTTTATATTGTTCCCACAAGGTTGTCAGGTTTTTTTGGAGATAAAGCTTTGAGGAACCTAAAAGTTTCTTTGTAGGTAGCAAGAAGGCATTTCTGCTTCAGTGAGATCTGCAAGAGTATTGACAGCATTTGTCTTTGAGTTTCATAGGAAATAATCACCCATTCAAACCCTTGACAATTTCTCCTTTACTCTTGGGAAAATCATGGCCTACACATTGAATGAAGGAATAGGAAAGATTGTTTTCCACCTACCTTCTTTGGCCATCTTTAAAGCTTTTATTAGCATTTTGATGGCCTCTTCGTGTTCTTTATTTTCCAGCATTTTGTCTGCTAGCAATGTATAAATTCTCCAGAGATGCTGACACGCCAGTGAAGTGTAAGTGTGGCCTGTCTCATCCTTCCAGGATGTGCCCTCTGTTAGCTCATAAAAGGTTTCAAAATGCTTAGCAGCTTTTGTGACATGACCTGAAAAACATCATTCACAATTAAAATCAGTGCAATCATCAGAAATTGTTAAAGTTTGTAGTCCATAATAATTTCATCATTATAAGTAAGTTGTCGCCAAACATTCCACAGATTTTTCAAGACTCTTCAATACATAACCCACGGATCACTGGAAAATACAATCAAATTTCACAGTACACAGTAACGCTCTAATTTAAATTTATAATATTTTTAATTAGCTTTCCTTTGTAAATTCCCAGTGTTGAGGGGGTGTGATTCCATGGATGCAAAGTCAGGATCTTCTAGAAAATAACTTTATTCTAGATTCATAAAGCCTTTGTCGTTCTTATACATTAAAATTTCATCTATGCATAAATAATCACAGCTGAAACCATTCCTCAAGTTTATTTTACCATAATGAAAACCTGTGGTGAAAGATTTGAAGTGTGGGAGATAAAGGTATCAGAATTGTGGAGAAAAACTAAAAACCTTCATTCAAACAAATTAATCAATGAGAAAAGGAATTATCATGCAAGGTAATTTATTCAGCAGTTATTGCAAGGCCAACTCTGGTGAGTTTATCTAGCAGATTTACTGCAAGAGCATTAACCATTGATAGATTAATTACTGAGCCTGAAGTAATATACTCCAAGGTCTTCAACAGTAAGTTATTCAAACACTTTTAAGGCAAAGGAAAGTTTGAAGATAGAATTCAATTCATTTTCACATTCAAGTCGTTTTTCCTCTACTTGCAGCTGGATTTACCTCTGTGCATAAAAATCAATCTAGGAGATTTCCATACCTGCTGGACAATGAAAATTCAAAGCTCTTGGAAAGAACAGAAAACCTTTTTCTCATACATAATGGGTATTGCTGGGAAGCAGGTAAGATAAGACTATTTACACAAAAATAATTTTAAAGAAAGCATTCTAGTCACAATATCTTGTTTAGCAAAGACTCTTCTGTAGCAGGGAGAACTGTGAATGTGACCCTGCCTTCATAAGTGTGCATGTGATGGAGGAATCTTGTCCCATAGATCACCAATATATTAACTGCATTTCTATTAACAGCTGAAAAAACTCCAATAAATAGGTTCATTTATATGTTTGTAGTTTGCACCTTTTCTGAGATGTGATTCACAAGGAACTATTGCTGTTTGGCAGTCTTTTTTGACAGTGCTGAATTCAAACTGAAAAAGAACCAGGAAGCAGAAAAGTTGTTTCCCAGTCATAGGAAAGGAGAGGAGAAAAGCTTGGAGATGTATCTTGTTTAAGCATTCCTTGAGAAAATGAGGTTATCTCCCCAGGCCTCCAGCCAACCTAGAGGCAGCAGAACAGCTATGACAGATTTCTCTTATTAACTCAATTTAGATTTGTCTTTTGCATATGTTACCCCTTTATAACCATGCTTTCAACTTTGCAATATAAAACATAACTCATCTTTATTAGAATTAAATTTATTTTCATATTAAGTTTCTCTGATGATTAAAACGAGTTCAACTAAAACTGACAAGCACAAGAAGCTCCTCTTTCAAAGACGCAATGAATTAAATGAGTGTCATAGACAAATAATTTTATGGCTCTACAGCCTAAAATTCAAGTAAGAATCCCAGAGGAGACAACAGGTGCTGAACAGTGCAGTGCCAGGTGAAAAGGGAGTCAGCAGGCTTTATTCTGTTCCATTCTACCCAGGGACAGGTATTGAAGAGATGGCCCAACGCACTGGGAAAACAGAAAAAATTCTATACATTCTTCCCAAAATATCACACACTAGACATCAGACTGCACAAATAGAAAGGCAAAGGGAAATTATCACAACCAGTACAAGCTGTTAACAGACTCCCTGACAGTAGATGTAACAGACAATAGACACACAGATTTGCTAAAGCCAGATGAAAACCCTTATCTATTCTCAAAAGGCTTCTAATTTGAGTTTTTGTCTATCCAGTTCAGCTAACTTCTGAGGGCACAGTCAACACTGCAGTCAACAGCATTCCAGCTATTCAAGTTGCTAAAGGCAGATTTAAGATATTGAAGAAACTCACGTTGGGTTTGTGACAAATGATTGAAAGTTGAGTTAAAATGTAACATTAATAGGTAGAGCCAACATTTTGTTCACTTGGTTTCTCATAAGCACATACACTCTTACTTGGAATTCTCCCCAAAGTTCATTAATAAAGAAATTGTTCTTTTGAAAGAGTATTATCATACATTTGAGCCATTGGGATAAACTACATGTGCAATGGCTTCTTTACTAGAATTTGATTCATGTGTTACTCAAGAACTTTCAGTAAGAATGGGAAGCAGCAAACAAATGAGTGGTATCACCATGAAGCTGAACAGTATCTGAGTTTCTCCTGACACTGTAACATGATCACTTAACAGGACACATTGTTTAGGTAAATAAAACTTGCAGTCTTAAGGACTATTGATCAGGTTGTTGGAACTATCAGGTGTGGTGACTTTTACCAAGCTCCCTTCTTGCAGTATCCCCTTGAGAAAGTTTCTATCAGACTAGAAAGGGAACTCATACATTCCATACCCCGCATAGTTCTCAGGAGCTGACCTAACCCTAAGAGCTGAGACCCGACACTCCTTATGCCAGACCTCAGTGAAACCTCTTTGGAAACAACCCATCAACATCAAGCATCAAAATGATAAAGTAATATGATTTTTTGGTAATATTCAAGTGGATCTATATTACATTTGGCCTCACTGAATTACCAAGAAAGATTACACAGTAAAATGTAAAACAATCTGTTCATAGAAATACTAAAAAGAAAGTGATTCACAGAAAGCCAAAACACCTGCTCATTTCCTAAACAAGGAAGAGATGGAATTCCTGACATGAAAGCCCTTACAAGGGAATTTGCTTACTGAAGACTCTTTCAAATCAAAAGAGCTATTTGGAGACTTCTCAAATTCATGGAAGGTAAAACATTTAAGACTTTGGAATTTATTCTTCCAAGAAAATAAACTGAAATTCTTTGTTGCCACTGGCAAATGACACATCAGCTTATTTATTTAATCCATAATGTTTCTGTGAAACTCAAATGTTCTGGGAAAATAATATTTTCAGGGGGCTGGCGAGTTTACTCCCTGTCATGAGTCAGTTCAGCTGGAACTGATCAGGCCAGTGCATTCTAATTTTTAAACACTGAACTGCTGCAAGTGTTGCCTGCAGACATTCATAGAACACCATCTGAAAATCTTGAAAAAACATTAAAAGAAAGCAATTAGCCAATTGCAGAACATTGCTGAGCATAAGAGCATTTTATCTTAGTTAGGCAGTGAAAATGCAGAGTTTTAAATTACTTTTATTATGAACTGACAAAAAACAAAGACCAAAAAAAGCAAAATGAGAAGAAAAAACAATGGAGTAAGAAAATCACTTGAAACAGCTTGCAGGAATGTATTTTTATAGGTCTAGGAATTCAAAGAGAAAAGCAAGAAAGTGTTTCTAGGAAATGTTTGAAAAATCTATTTGCAGAATGTTACACAAAGCAGTAAAGCTATTTTCAGTTGGCAACATTAATAGCAATTGCATATTTATTCTCACACTGCCGTGCAGATTTTATCTCAGTGGATATCAAATGGACTTGGAGAATCTCTGATGTCTCTCTTCTCTTCTTACAAAAGGAATCAAAAACCAGAATGATAACTCTTACAACATACATACTAGCGCTACCCAAATTTATACTTTAATAATTTTTTATAGTTTAATATAACTCAGGGCATAACAAAGGAAATCCCATCAGCAACAGCTTAATCTTAGATATGGGAGGCTACATTGTCTCAATATAATTTTGGGGGTAGAAAATCTGTTTTAAATAATTATATATGAATATAAGAAATTCTAACGGATTTTTGCTACAGTTTTCACTGAATCGGTTCAAATTAAAAAATTAAATCTATTCATTCAAGCAAAATAATTCAATGCAATTTTTTCAATATAGAAATGTTTTTAGATCATCTAAAAGTTCGTTCATAATTCTCCTTCTTAAAACCCAATCCAAAAATACAGATTTCTTATATCAAAATAGATACCAAACCAAAAGGGGTATGTATGGAGACTACTATTTTGCCTTTTTTTTAAGTAGAAAGATTGACTAGATATTAACACAAATGGGTTTAAATGTGAAGCTGCCATAAAAGCAGGCACATAAATGTAATTCTCCCAGCCGCTATTTTGATGCACATTTTTGATTCCATGAATATTTTATGAAATGGCCCAAACTAAAGCCATATAACATTCCTGCATTACTGATGCTTGCGCCCGTAAGCTACAAACATTAGAGGCATGATTGAGTGCATTAAAATGAACTCATTCAGCAGTGCATTGATTACTTGAAGGAGGAAAAAAAAAAGTTACTCCCACTTAAGAAAACAGCACACAAACCTGAAGTTTTCAATACTGAAATTAGAGACTCAAATTTGAATAATGTGGTATTTAACAAATAAAGGCAGTGCAAAACTATCTAGCAGTCTCTATATACATTCCTGACTTTAATTAGGTGAGATGTTAATTAGGTCCACAGATTGCTTCCAGTAGTGTACAGGTAATTTAAAATGTCACAATCTGCAAAATGCAGTGACTGACCTGCTCTAGCTCCATGCCTCAGCAATACTGAGAGCACCTAATGATTTCCTTTTCTATCAGCTTGTATATTTGCCAGTGAAAATAATGCCACAGAAACAACTGCACAAGAAAAGTGACAGGTCTGTTAGGTAACCTGCCCCAGCAGCACCACTAGAAGCAGGAAGCAAACTTAATTCTAAATTGCAAACAGTTGTTGAGGGCTTCAGAAAATATTCTGCTGTAGATTAAAACAATTTAAAGGTAAAATAAACTTTGTGGTTTATAGTATATTTTAATCCAGAGCATCTTTGGCCATCAGTTATTTCACTACACAATGAGAACACAAAATCTGGTTGAAGCATCAGCTAATGGTAACAAAAACCAAAAATGTTATTGTCTTTCAAAAGATAAATGCTTACATTTCAGTCTAACTGCTTGAACTA